AAAAATATATTTTCTAGAATGGAAATGTAGAAAATTTCGAAATATAGAAAATATAGAAAATTTAGAAAAAATATAGAGAAAATGCAAGAGAATGTCTTTCCAATATCCGAACGAAAAATTTTTGTCTCTGTTTGAAGAAACCGAATTGAGTTACCTTGAAGCAACACACGTTTTTGATCAAACGAATATTTTCTGTGGATAAAAGGCCGATGGAAGCGGAATAGTAGAACCATAATCGGTAATAGATAGAGGACGACCTAAAAATATCGGCCCATCGACGAGCGAAATTCCAATAGCGTCATTCAAGAGAAGTGCATGAAAATATTCGCGGAGGCAGCCACCGTCACGACATACATGCGCCAACGCAATAAATTCGTTTTATGCGACGCTTCGACAGGCAAAAAACGAACACGGGCATAAGTTATGAACACTTCAAAATCGCGCACGAGAAAGAAGATCACGGTTCGCTTGGCTCACCAAATTTTTTCGTCAACCTCTTTCTGTCTTCCAAAATCATAACAGAGCGAGAGCAAAATTGATGTAAAAAGTTATAAAGCGTGTCGTGAAAAAGGTATTTAAAAAATAATTAAAAAGTATGAGAGGAAACTTGAAAATTAAAACTTAAAATTTATTCAGATTAGATACAGAAAAGAAGAGAAAGAGAGAGAAAAGGATGTTATTAATAACGCGAGCACACGGATTAAAAATTTAATAAATTTCAAATACATATGAAGAATATTTTTTGCGAAAATAGTAAAACTGAATTTTAGTGAATATTTCAAATTTTATATATATATATATATATATATATATATATATATATATTATGTATATATACATGTATGTATGTATATATGTATATTATCCGAATGCCTGCGCCATTTTTAATTTTAAATCGCTCTAAGGAATATTTATGAATGCGTAAGAATACGAAAAACTGAGAAATGGGGCTAATCTTACATTTTAATATCAATCGCGATAAAGTCTCGCAAAAGCGACTCATCCTCTAAATGGCATCTGAATTTAGAAAGTTTATAACCGCATCTAGCATTCTTGAGATGCATTTCGATCGTGACGTCGTCGGAGATGCATATTTACGAGATACACTTCCGCTATAAACTGCGCATGCAGCTATTACGATTTGAAGAAGCTGTCACGATAAAGTTCCATCGAGCTACTGCATCTCCTTGACTCTTTTACATTGTGCACATCCCTTTCCACCGTCGTGCACTCGTTTCTGTCTCGAGAAAGTGCCAGTTGCATAATTTTGCAACCCTGGAGTAACGCGATAGGCATATAAGAGCCGACAGATGTCCTATTTCGTGCTCGGTCACGTCGTCCGGTTGTCATTCGTTTGCAAAATGGGGGCTCACTATTTTTATTTTCTTCCGTCGGCGTTTCTTAATTCTGATATAGAAGAATCTTGCATTCCACCTAACTGCATGTTTTCCTACACATTTTGCCAACGATTCCGCAATATTCCGTCTTATCAATATACCTCGAATATCGATTTTTTTGATTTTTTGAATATTTTGTTTATGTATATATATAAAATAAATTATATTCTTTATAGAAGGAAATACACGTTGCTATACCAGTTTGTACAAATTATTACAAATTATTGTCTACGATAAAAACTAATTCTACGATAAAAACACAAAACAATAATAAGTATATATCTTTTGCGAGACCAGAGTCTCGAACATTATCTAAGATCACTACAGGTCTCAATATTATCTGTAATAGTTCGTCGCTTAACACTTGACCCTCACGAGCACGCAACAGAAAGCACGTAGACACGCAAAAGTAAAAATAGGAGAAGCAGACAATTACGCTGGAAAGGCACGTAAAATTGTCTTGCAATGATAAAAGGTTGTCTAATCTTTGAAACCTTTTTCTAGCAAGTGTAATAAACAGTAATAGTTGCCTATCTCGCGCGCACACGTATAACGTTTTAAATAATGCATGTATACATTCCGTACAATGCACAATGATTCGTCTATACATTATGCATTTATGTAATTGTAATACCCAAATGAAATGCATTTAATTCGACGATTTACATATGATGATTAGATGATTAATAGCTCATGAAAATGATAATTACGTTCATGAATCAACAATCTAATGCAAATTAATAATACAACGTAAATCGAAAATGATGAATATTGTATATGTATTTAACATTACAAGTATTGCAATCGAGTTTGAGCGAGCTAGTTAATTTTGCCGATTTAAAATGTTACCGAAACTGTGATGAAATATTTTGATAATACAAAATATTTTATTAAATTTCCTCCCTATTAATGAATTTAATTCTTGTACGTATATATACATAAAATATTTATTAAGTATATCCCTGAATAAATAATATTCTATCATTAGAGATATACTTATCCATATAATTTATCTTTTACTGAAAGATATCTTCAATTTTTCGTATTTTGAATTCATTCTTATCCATGCAGTCGTTGTAATATGTTATCAAATTATTGTAAAGACAAGTACATATATACGGACGTTTATTTCACTCTGTAAATACAAATATATATAGGCAGTTAACTATCGGAAATGCAAGATCTTGTTGCTACGCCGTTGTGAGAACTGGCAGCAACATAACGCGCAGTTGAAATGGGTCCCTGGTTGCCATGAAATGAGGAAGAATCGACCCCCGGATAGAGGGAGAGGAAGGTTTTTCACCCAGGGTGCAGTAAGCTATCCGTTGGTAAGGAGGTAAGGGCTCGCCTAAGGGAATACTTTCGAAGTGTCTGTTTCTGGAAGGAAAATACGGCCGCGCGCGGGTCTGGCGGCTGGAAACAAGGGTTGCCAGTGGAAAGTTGTGAAACACTTTTACGTCTTGGTAGCGGTAATTGAACTTTGCTATTTGTTCGAATAGTATTCTCAAAAAATTGCGAAGCTGTAGCAACGCAATTTTGAGATTGCGAGGTGAGAAGAATCAAAATAGAAAATAAATATAAACGAGATGAAGAGGGGTCAGTTGCTGGCGAACAAGTATCGCATGTTATGGACGATGTAAGGACGGCCCGAAGGATCATGATTATTGATATTTGAGAGATAGAGTCCCGTACGAAGAGAGTAAAAGACATGTCGACAGTAGTATAGTAGTCGAGGTCAGCGCATGGGTTCACCGAAAAGTGGAAGGAAAATGGCTAAAGGCATAAAACGTATGTTAGGCCACGGGACGTGCGCAGAATGCGTTGCGCCTGCCACAAGATGCTTTGTTACGCGACTATGTGTTGCCGCCGCACACTTCCACATACTTATACAGGTTTAGTGAACAATGATACACGCCATTTACGTTTTCTTTAAGAGAAGACACGCGATTATACGTATCTATACAATATAAGATGTGTCAAAAGTCATACACATCTTTTTATATTTTTTCTCTTTTTTTGCGAGAAGATAACTAAATTATCGTCTCTCTAATATTTGATTTTGTAACACTAAATATCTTTATTAATCAGGCTCGGAATTAAATTTCTATTAAGATTCATATTTGATTTGCAACTATCTTATTGTATGTTTATATAGCTTAATTTTCAGTATTAAATAACTCGATAATTAATCCTGCCGTCAAACTCGCACCGAAGAAACATCATCTTCGAGTCCATCGGAGAGCCTGTAATTACAGGAGAGAAAGCGCGCAACTTCCGATACACCCCGTATAATATGTACCATCTAGTCTGCTATGTGTTCGCGTCACGTATACCTATGTACATAAGCGTACCTGGCTATCTACTCACCATGGGCAACGCGCCACTTCGCGTGATCCCGTGGGACCGTACCACCCGCCCGCACGTCCCCCGCCCTCTGTACACGGTACACACCACCCTACACACCGCCGTCGGATAAACCGCTTATTTTATTCATAAACCCACAACGTGGAATCAATATTGCACCGTCGCCCCTGCACGCTCGAGGAGAGAGAGACGTCGTCAACGACGGCAACACGTTCTCTGCCTCGACGGGGATCAGGGAATGCGGACGTTTAACTCAACCCTCTCTCGCTTTCCGTCACCCTTCCTACGTCTGCCGCGAACCCTTCGTCCCTTCGTCGATTCGCAGATCCGTGTTAGCTTCTCTTGTCTGTATACATGTATATATATCTCTCGATTTCTCTCTCTCTCTCTCTCTCCTTCTCCTTTTCTCTATGCGTCTCTGTCGGAACGTGTCTAACGCGGTGGAATGTAGAGTGAAATTAGTCCTTAGCCCCCGTCTGATCCCGTGGAACGCGATGTCCATTCTATGACAGGACATATCCAAGTCCGGGTGGGAGGGAAGAGAGGAGGAAAAGGGACCGACGGTATTTCACGCTGCTGAAGCGCAGGCATTGTTCGAACGATATAAATGTCAACAACTACTGTCAGACAATCGCGACATTCCAAACGGGATATAAAGTAACGCATCGGATGCTTTTTCCGACCTGCCAGGCGGACTGATTGATATGTACGAGCTATACGATTTCGAGAAGAATATCAAATTCATAAACGTATCGAAATTTGCGACATGATGGCAATAGTTCGGTCGCAATAAATAATAAAATAATTTGTCAATAATATAAGGTTTTTTTTGTTCTCTTCTATATGCATGAGATAACGTGAATTTAAAGTTACAATTATCAGTTTTGCAAAGAACGTACGATTAAAAATTGTCTCGAAAAAATTTTGCATTTTAAAAATTCTATTTCGAAAATTGATAAAAATCTTATCTCGAAATTGCATGCTATATATAAAAATTTGCTGTTTTATATTCACAAGCTGTTCGTATGCTTCATCGGTATTGGTATCGTCCGATATAGTAATACAAAAAGCACGACGGGGAATGGCGCACGTGCCTAAATATCCCCCCGAGGTTAATGTAACGCCACTGAAAGAGAGCTAATGAGACTCGTACCGAGTGGTCTGGTAAAGCTCAAACGCCATACCGGACCGAAAACTGAAATTGTCCTATACTTGAACTGGCGCTTTCTGTGCTTTCAGGTAATAACGGGTAACACGAACACGTATTTGGAGTCCAAGCACGAGCTGCAGCCGCCTCTGTGGGCGAGCAAGATCCGTTTTCTGCCCTACAGCTATCACAGGCGGACGGTTTGCATGCGGGTCGAGCTCTACGGGTGTTACTGGAGCGGTAAGCTGTTTGCACTCGCCAATTTTCGTGAAACTTGCCCCGGACCGGTACACCCGACGGACTGTCCATTAACTCTGATACCGGCTGCGGCCAGAGCAAATTTGCTTTTCAAAATCTTGCTCGTATAATTCCGTTTTCACTCGGGAATCGAATTAGCTACGGGCGTCGAATAGATATTCTCAATGCCAGAAATGCGATAAATCATTAGCGCGCATGTTAGACCATTAACATTATTCAAACGTGTTCATATGAGCAGTTTGCTTTACTAGTAGCTTAAACAAATATATGAGATACGAATTAGAAATCATCTAAAGTACGAGTTTCAAGTGTGAATAAAATCGAGTTTTGATTTCTTACATATTCGCGATGCTTCGAGTCAACACGCATATATACATACATAATAAACACAAAGACTGTGATTTATATATAAATACATTTTTTTCAGCAAATAATTAATTTCGTAATTCCTAATTCGCTTAAAAAGATGGCAATTTTAATTTATATTTTCATTCATTTGCTTTCAATCAAATGCTAAAGATGCCACTCACACGTATACATTCGCCATCTATCGATATAAAATTTATATTTATTTTCTTCACATATATATCGGTCAAAATAAGACTCGCATAACTCGCTCTCGAACAAATCAAAGGCAGTATATCGCCATCGATAAAAGGTCAATATCGTATCTTAACTTTTTCCTTCTACAGACGGCGTAGTGTCCTACTCGATGCCCCAGGGCGATAAAAGGGGCAACGGATGGGAATTCTTCGATGCGACCTACGACGGACACTGGGACGGCGAGTTGCGCCGTGGTCTGGGTCAGCTGACGGATGGCAGAACAGGACCTGATAATTTCAAAATGTACCACGATAACGATCGCGCCCAGGGCTGGGTAGGTTGGAGAAACGATAGCCGTAACCAGCCGGTCGAGATCAAGTTTGAGTTCGACAAAGTCAGAGAATTTTCCGCCGTCCATATCTATTGCAATAACGAATTCACCAGGGGCGTTCAGGTTCGTACAGCTAAGCATATTTAAATTCATTAAATCTCAATAAAAAGATAATTATCTTCACTTTTCGCTAAGAATATTATTAAAATGGATATAATTAAATATCCAAAAAGATATAATTAAATAATATCGAATAGAAAAACTAGTCATATAACTCGTAATTCATAGTAATATTTTTAATAACAATACTACGATTAAAAGTACACGACATAAATTCTTTCTGTTTAAAGATTACAGAGTGCATGCGATATATCGCGTAAAAATTGAGATAAAAAGGAGCGCGAAAAGATCTTCTTTTTCCTAGACAAAGTGTACTCCGTTTTATAAACGCATGTCTAATCGATTGAACCGTTCGTTGTGATTCCGCACGGATAACGATCCGGGAGAACCTAAAGAATCCAGGTGATCAGAACGGAGCACGCGCCGCTTCTATATCGAATTACTTTCCTCAGCCGAGATTCCTCCGTGAACTCGTTGACGCCGAGGAATCGTTTACCTTCGCTTTAGCGACATTATTCCTTAGTCCCCGTCAGGAATGCGCAAGCAGCGTCGATCAACACGCTCGCCATCCACGGGTTCTTCGTGATCTTCTCCACCTTTTACCATCACCATCCGCCTAAGTCGCGCAGCATCTGGTCGGCAAGATGCACCCTCACCCCGCCTTTTCTCCCGCTCTCCCTGTCCTCACCACCACGCTTGATTGAATATTCCACTCGACGCTTTATCAGGCAGACGCCCATTGAATATCAATACACCGTGGAACAGCAATTCCGGTAGTTTGATATCTGCCATGGTCTCTGCGCATTGAGTCGGCTATTAGCCACATTATTTCACGAGGAATCTTGCGAATTTAATGAGGAATTCATACATGTTATTACGACATACGTTATTTAGCATTGGAATTTAAGCGCTGAAAATCTCGATATATTTGCGGTGATAATTTTGATTAATAGCAATTATATAATCGTAATAAATCGCGTTGTACAAACCCATAAGGTGCGTAATAAGTTGTTTACCGATTTTGTAAACATCAGCATCGTGATGCGGAATTTCTCTCGTGAATCTCTTGCCCTCTTCATATCCGAGACGTTTCATACTCTTGTGTTTCGTAATTTCAACTTTTATTCGCGAAACTTAAGAGCAAACCGGAAAATTTGAGCAGAGATACTTGATGGAAGAAAAACAATTCCCGGATGCTTCTTGAGAGGCAGATAGGAAACTTTTCGCATCATTCGCCATATCCGTGATTCAGCGCGTTGTAGCCGCGGAAATGAGTTCGCGGGGGTGGCTTATAAAGAGAGATTCCTCGTGCTTACTCCGAGTTATGATTCGATCCATTGTGTAATTTCCGTTTGGTCACAAATCGCGACCCCGCCGCGCCGTCCTACGTAGATTTGACGACTCGATAGTATTATGATAGTCGGCAATTTACATACAGAGTCGTGTACTTTTATTATATCAGAGCTATAATGCACTTTTCTCATTACAATTTGCGTCCTGATACTTTGATTGTAATAAGAGATAGAGAGCAACAATGCGAGACCCGAGAATGGGAATAATATCCATTATTAAGCGACATATTACGAAGTCGAAGCAGAGAAAACGAGAGGGAGAAGAAAATGGCAGCATGCATGTAACATTCAAACGTTCGTCGTTTGTAATTATGTATTACACTGGCTCTCTAGTGACGTCATACTGAAAATATGGAAACTCGAGATCTCCAATGACAAAGTCCGCGCCGCACATATTGCATGTTTCATCGTATCCGAAACAAATCCGCTTTAAACACGCGTGCGTATTCTGTCATATGCTACAGTTCGTTTAAAGGTTCGACGACGCGTGCGGTGAAATATGTATAGGAGATTATTGAATGTTGCGCCAGAAACGGAAGCACCCGAATTTTGATCCGAATAAAATTGTCCCGAACAATTCTTTCGTGTTGAAATCGTAGAGGACGAAAGAGATTACGTCGTAATACCGTATTACGCAAACATTTCGCTATTACTAATTTTTGTAGAAGAAAGAGATATTTATTATTCTTTATTTTTAAAAATGCACAGAGTTATTAATAGTTGAGAAAATATTATTAATTTTCGTTGAAAGGAATAAACTTTGCCGTTTCACATAGTTTCTTTTAATTTGAAAAATCATTACGTGTTATAAGCAAGTATAACTTTTTTAATCGTTATAAAAATTGGACGCAAAAAAAAAATGATAATCAATATTTCACGAGTAAAAACCGCGAACGCAAGTTAATATTTAGCATCGTTTATACCTATGGGAACTGTTAACGAAAGCCCTGATCCAGCAATCTGAACGGACTTCGTAGTATTTCGAGTACGTCGTTACGAATCCTTGAAATGGGAACGTGCTCCAGATAGTTTTGCGTTACTGGAAACGCGGTGAAACCGCTCGATGTTTTTCGGGAGAGCCGTCGATATCCGGTTGTATAGCAGCGGTATTCGCAGAACGCTTGCCGCGAAAATCGAAAAATTTTTGCGTCGGTCGAAAATCCACGGGCGCGTACTCATGCGTGCGCGTGTGTGCGCGATCCGCGAATAGTGAATATCTCGCACAAAGCGCAAATACAGCCACCGCGCGCGGGCGATCGCGGTATAAACGCGCAGGATAGGAGGGTACGTATACTCTTTGATGCTGGGTTCAGTGATCACCCTTCCCAAACATGCTCCACCCCCCGGAGTGTTCGTATTACAATTCAACTTCATCCCAGATTCCCGTTGAATGTATATAAACTTTAATAGTCTGTTAAACGTAAATTAGAATGTTAGTCGCGACAGATAAAATTCACTGCGAATACCGCGAGCGATATTCCTTATCGCACGGCGCGAATAACGTAAAAACATGCGTGCGTGCGAGATGGGCCATAAATGGAGTGTCTGCGTTTTACGATAGACTGATATCGGAACGATAAATCGAAATAGCGTTTGTACATCGCGAAAAATTATATAAATTCATACGGCGGATAGATATCGCTCTAGGCCGACAAGTATTCGCGACCGTATAAAATATAAGAGTACAAATATATTGCACGGGGGGATACATTGGAAGAGCGAAACACTGCGATAGATTTCTCGGGAAATATATGGAAATAATGCGTGATATAAGATGATGCGCGCTCATAAATCAATATCTCAGTCAGTTGAGAGGCCGAGGGAGCTCGTTTGCAGAAATACTAAAAGCCCGCGCGCATTGATACATCGGAGAATTATTACCGAATTTATGAGAGCGATGCTCTCCGTATCCTTCGCGCGAAAAAAAAAGGAATAGAATGATAAAAACGAGGACTTCATCGCGAGCGCACGTACTAATGGGTTTTCGATAACCAATTCGGATAATCGGGACGCGCGCTGAAAAACCGACGGAACCTTCGCTTAAACCCAATAATTACAAAGTCCCTCGTACACACCCTACCCTCACCACTACAGTGGCACGCAAACTACGGTGGTGGCCCGCCATAAATGCGCCCGGTCTTTGATGCAGCGGTCAGCGGTCCTCCAAAACGGCCACGTTGCAACCTCTTGGTGGCCGGTGCCCCCGACGTAGCGGCACCTAACACCCGATCAACGTCCTCCTCAACGAGTTCCTTTTTACTGCTTTAATGCAATAAAATTCGATGACGAGATGAGTGGTGATTTCTTTTATATGGATCACTGTCAAAGGACCACCTCTCCCTTTCTGTGCTATCTATATCGGCGCATTTTTTGCATCCAATTAACATTTTCTCCTTCAGCCGATGAAATACAATAGTCGCGAGCGATAATGGACCGCGATCAAAACAGCCTCCGCTGGAGCTGCAAATCGTCGCAGAATCGCACGCGCGGATCATTCTGGAGTAAGGTAATTTTCCGGAATGCGCGTTCTACGTGTCGTAATGTAATAAAGAAGAATGAATTTACCGGCGCTTCACCGGTAGAGAGAAGAACGAAGAGAAGCGGGAGGAAGGTTCGTCTGCGACGAATCCTCTCGTTATCTGATATTCCGGCAAATACCTCTCTCATTCGGCGTAAGAGATGCCGTCTCGTCAAAGTGCATAAATTCGCGTGATTGCGCGCCTCGGTTGACGTAACGGTCTTCCGCGCGTTCGGCGTGCCGATTTTATTTACGAATGCTCTTTCCTCTCTCGAAATCCGTTTCAATTTTGCTGACGGACGTTCCCTCCGGTACGTGTTTGGCCGAACGAAGGCGCATTACCTATTCAGCGTAATGCATAAAACTTCATGGTCGACTAATGGAACGAAATGGAATGTATATACGCGCTGTCATAATTATTCCAGGGGGGGGAATTCTCTCTAATATATAGTATCTCGATTTTTGAGAGCTACTGCGTCTGCAGCCTGATAACATATCTCCGCCGATAAATTCTATGTATTTAATCGCGAGATCCTCTCTACATCTTCTAGCTCAAATATATTTATGTACCTCGATAAGATATAAGATAATTCCTTTTAATACTCTTATGCATAAGTAATCAGAAAGTGTCAGTTATTTAAATGCACAGATATAAGAGAGACTTCGGTATACATATGATATTAAACATTGTAAATGCTCTTGTTTTTTAAAATAATTAGCAACTCACGCATATTCCTTTCGGAAGCTTTAAAATAAGGTCTAGTATCTCGTGTCGACTGCTTTTTATTCTAAATATTGTATCATAAATTGCGCATATAATTTACACGCGCGCGCACACGTGGAATGCATCTCATCTCTTTTCCGATGACTTTCGGTTGTAACGGAAAGCTCGTACACAATCGTAGGAATTTTATGATGACTCTATCTTCATGCAACACCTACACGCGCCTGTCTCGCGCAAGGTGCATCGACATGTCGATACTACTGCTGTTACCGTCGGATCTCGCGTCTTCCCGCCGCACGGTATATATCGTTCCCGGCTGCCATTGCCGCGAGATAAACCTCTGGAAATTGGATTTACATGACGCGGATTAGGATAACCGAATCTGATAGGCCGACTCCCTGTCTACCGCATCATTGGAAATGTATTCCGGAGGTTCTCCTACGACTGTACCATCGAACCTAGTAAAATACGAGACAAGAACGAGAAGACGCAGACATCATGATAGAATTTGGCGACACTTTATTACCTGACATGTCTGCGCTGAGATAAAAGCATTATTGATCTTTGTTGTTAGATAAAAGTTCCTTCAACTAAATACAATACGATTGCCATTTGTCTAAAATAAATTTTCTCCTGGAACGAGCTTATATTTTATGTGCGCAATTGAATTATCTTTGATGGATAATGAGTTTTCTAGCAATTTTCCGGAAATATTGAATTTTCTCAAAATTTTCACGTGATTTCACGTGCATCTCTTTATTAAATATATTTACGTAAATCTGATGTAGAAGAAACTTATTTATTGCTCATGAATTCGATAACTTTTAGAAAAGCTCTTATATGCAACTTTCCGTCATACATTATATTTCTTGAATCAACTTTATGCGATGTGATATTCCACGCTCCAATTCCAGCGAAATACGGCACACACAGAATTCCTCGACAAATTGCTCGGGTCCGCTAGCCATCGTGGATGATGTAAGCCAAGGTAGGAGGCATCCAAGAACATGCTTGCGGTAGTAACGGAGTCCGGCGTTCGCTTAAGCCTCGCGGAAATTATCCAACATTAATCGAAACTTACGGAATTTCAGATTATTCGCCGCAACGTCATCATTGTCATCATTGTCGTCAGATATTCGGAATTTCAAATGGCCCGTGACTTACGAATATTCAGCAAGCACTTTGCGCATGCGGCACGCGATTTGGATACACGAAATTATTTAGGCACTCGCATTGCGCTTCCCTACATCGGTATTTCCGCGATGAAATTGGACCATCCAATTTCACATTTATAATCAAATTGTCATTCTTCGCGAAAAGAAATAGATCGTTTGTATGCGCCTCTGCTTCTTCTCCCATCACCGATTACTCGAAGAAAATATAATATTTTTGTATCGATTTTAAAAAAAGAAAAAAAAACAGGATGTAAATTCAGGCACAGCGAACAAGCAAGTGTACATCGTACGAATGCTTTCTCGATACATTTTTACTAATAAAAAGCCCGCGCGACTTTGGATAATATCTCGGATAATATTTGATTTATGGTTACATCATATCGAACTTTAGGGACACATTAAACTTTTATAACATTCTCAAAAGTATCACAGCTTTTCGCTTCTCGCGTGAAAACGATCCACACTCTACTTTGTTGGTGAATCTTCTTTGAAGAGATTTTCGAGTCGAAAACCTATCCATCAACGTCGAAGCGCGCTGGTATCCATTTTACTTAATATTCACTATGACGTAATTCATTTTATTTCATATCACCTGGAGCTAGTCTCTTAACAACGTAGTAAAAATCATTTTTTCCTTGCGGACCTTGCGACGGGACTAGTTCCCGGTTAATGAACTTTACGATTCGAATTCAACGATCAATACTGGAATCGATTTCTCGGTCGCGCGATTTTTCGGCGCGATCCTCCATCGACACGAAAGGAGAGCAAGCAAGGGCCCGCATTCCGTGACGACGGAATTCCTTTCCTGTCAGATCGTCGTCCATGAATTTACGACCGCGCGAAAGTAGTCAGCCCTGAAAAATGATATCCGCGGTCAAAAATTTACGGCCGCGCGATGCGGTTGTTCAGAAGCTGAAAAAGTAGCTCGGAGAGGCGGAATAGGAATTTTGCTGTTGCGAAATATGTACTGTGTTTCCTCTTTCATGCCGACGAGACACTCATGCGCGTAATACATACGATAAATTTTACTCGAGCGCTTATTCGCTGCATAATCCGTACCATTTCCGTTCTCGACTTATGTATAAGAGTTATTTATTGATAAATATTTTATTCGAATAACGCAATTTATATCTTTCTGTTTGCTTAATTATCTATATCATTTACATAACATGATGCGGTATTTCGTATTCGAGATATTCAAGATGTTTTCTTGGTTTTTGGATTACAGGTGTTTTCTCAAGTCGACACACTCTTTAGTATTGGCGGAAAATATTACACAGGAGAACCTATTACGTACACATACATGGAGGACAAGATCTTTGAGACTTCCCGAAATATTACGATCAAACTTCATCATCGAGTTGGGAAATTCGTTAAGCTGAGACTTCACTTCTCGGATCGATGGATCATGGTCAGCGAAGTAACCTTCGATTCCGGTAAGACAATTAATCATATCCAAGACATGTACTTGCATCGCGTAAAAACAGCTAATTTATATTTTTAAACTAACTCTTAATTAATATTAATGATATAAATCGCAACAAAACTCAATTTTTCATTGAGAAATGATTCTTTTTTATACATAAATGGGAAACTTTTCCATATAGCTCATGGCTTTTCTAAAATGTGTTAAGGAAGAAATAATAACATCTAATGAAAGTTTTAAAATGTAGGAAGCACAACCAAACGTATATCAGTCGTAGAAAATTGTGCGTCATCTTTTTACCCTGAGGAACGCGAAGTCGGAGAGAAAAACGTAATGTTTTCTCTTAAGAAATTTATGAAACTTTATTGTGCAGTCGGCTCATGCGCGCGCGCAAGCGTTCGATACGAACGTACAGTTTAAATTCAATATTTCAAAATCTCCATAATCGTGATCGAGGCAACTAGGGCAACAGAAAATTTATTCGTTCGATGTTTTACGGACGGAGTTAGAAGGTAGAACGACGCGTAACTAAAAAGAGATGACGCGATACGTCATTTAATTTCACTGAATCCATCATCTCTCGTCCATCTATCCTGTGACAGCGTCCAGCAAAACGTGCCTGACCGAAATTCTGGAATACATTAAAATCCCCGAACGAGAGGATATATATTTCTACGCTGATCCGCGCGCCATAACGGACAAAAACAATGACTGGCATGGAAAAAAAGAGACGTGGGACATCGCATCGCGGTGGTACTAGGGACGAAAATTTCTGCTCGTGACGCGAAATCGTTTCGTGATACAAGCCTCCACCGTAACTGAAGAGGACGAGAATGTATTTCTTTTTGCGATTCTGCCATTTCATTCCAATTCGGCGCAAACCACCGCAAAACCACCATCCTCCCTCCCTCCTCCGTCTTTGCTCCCTCGTAGCACCGATTGCCGCCTGTCAATCATCGAAAAAATAAATCTCAAAGTTGATTTAAACTGATACGTGCGGTAATTGACAATGGCTTATCGTATATCTGCCAGATAGCTATTTTAGAACGGATGATACTCGGGGAGGGAAGGGTGCTGGAAACGCGGGGAGACATACAAATAATCTATACCACCAGTCTCCTTACGCGGCATCTCTCCGGTTTTGACATCGCGTGTAAGATATGACTCGACGTACATTCACTCGATAGAAATCAACTTCCCTTTTCTTCACGATCGGTTTCCTGGGGAAGATGTGCGACGCGGCATAAATGTTAGACAGAGGAAAAACGCTTTATCAACGAAGATATAAATCGCGGGGCGTACGTCTCCATATCGAGTGCGCGCGATTCTGAAAGCGACTTTCGCCTCGTCTCATCGTTCCGTCTGATTTAACACGGATTCGATAAAAATCGCATCTTACGAGGAGTTTATCCGCATTTACAGTACGCTGATATCGAATAAAGAGGATTTATAATCAGGAGAGAGCCTAAGAAAGAACGCGTCAGCGATATATCATACGTACTATAAATATTACATTGCGTAAAATTTTTATCGTTAAATATTACATCTAAAATTTGCATATGCGTTTTTCATCAGCTAATATAATTGCAAAATTATTTTGCAGTTGTGCATTAACGCAGTAAAACAATATTACAGAATATCGCATAGATTTTTCATGTACAATAAAGATATATGTCGTCATGCAAATTGTATCCCAAGTTGTCGTGCGTTATTGTGCGTAATTCAAATTGGTAATTAAAACGACATTTCTGAAATATTTTGCACAATAAATGAGCACGAACAATAAAATAGCATGAATAGTTCTCGAATGTGAAGTCTCAAATCGTGAATTTTTATCTTTGAAGCACTCGGCTACACATGCTCTAATTACACACATTTTATATACATCAAAAATTGAGAGTTTAAAGAAACAAAACGTACTCACATAATTAGGTCGAGCGTGCAATTATACTGCAAAACTGCGCATTCTCTTATCTCTCCAAGTGTCATTCTGTCCCTTATTGCAAGATGCTTTGTATGAAAATGTAGAGAAAGCTTCCGCTCAGGTTTAAAGAATGGAACAAGTTCTGAAAAAGATTGTAATCATTTCGTTAAAAATCATTAATTTCATATAAAATATATGTTCATAATTAATTAAATTGTATTGATTAGAAAAGGATTATTAATATTTCTTTTTTTCTAGTGTAAGAAAAGAACATGCAGAAAAGAACAAACACATTTGCTAATCAATTTCTAACGCACAAAGATATTTTTATATTACAAAAATGTAAGTTTATATTTTAATAAAACGATATAAACACGATAAGAAAATTTTCGTAGCACTGCCCGTATTTAATCTGATTTATAAAGAGACATATGGTAATTCTACGGGCTCAAAGTGTCACGTATTATGATACATAGCGAACGTGCAACAGAACACGCGACACAAAGCTGGAAGATCGCGATCATTCCTCATCCTTTAAAGTCACCCTTCAATCTCCCTTGCCAAAAGAAGGGCTTTCGCATAGAAACGCATAGAAAAGCAGGTGAGCAAGTCATCGAACGGTTATAGGCGATACGAAATTTTCGATAAGTTCGATACATTGTCCATGTTAAGGATAACTTTTAGTAGCTTTCGAGAACCTCCATTATAAAGATTCAAACGATGAACCCCTCGCTGATGACATAGCTTTGCTTCTTTTTCCGCTCTATTCACGCGTAGAAAAACATTCTTTGTTAATCGTATCGCATAATATGTAGCCTTGAGCAATATAACAACGCGATGCGAGTTTTTATCTGAATCATTTCAAGTCTTTTGTCATCTCTTTTATACTCCTTCCATTCTGACGAGAAAGAAATCTCATTCTAGAAAATGAGTTACGACTAATAAGAAATACAAATTGATACAAATTGAAAAAAAAAAAATATTTTTACATAAATTTTCGAAACATTTTCACGTTAATTAGGGACACTCGTATTACATGCATTTATATACAAATAATGAATCTTCAATATGTATAAATAATGAATCTTCAAAGAGATCGCACTAATAATTCCGTGCAGTATTTCGAGCGGAAGTAACGTTAACTGAAGCAGGAAGGAACAGATTTTCTGGTTCGTTGACTGAAATTCAGTAATTCTGGGGAAACCGTAATCTTCGCATTGTAATGAGAAATTACGCGACGAACTAATGGGAGATAAGAACATCCTCGCTCTTATTCAAGGTATTTACGTACAAAGGGTCGTTTGCCGAGAGGACTTAGCAACGTAGCGACGAGATCATAAAACGTGCACGAAACTCTTTACTCGCTTCCTTCTGCTCTCCGCTCTTTTTCTACGTCAAAGGATATATGCAAAAACGCAAGCCAGACGCAAGCTCTTTCGCAGGCGCATAAAATACATTGCAAATCGCAATAAGAACGATGAAATTAATGCAGAATACTATTCAACAGTTACTCAACAATCATTAAGATAATTTAATCGTGTCGCTTGATTCTAAGACACATTAGATTATTGTGTATCGTGTTCGTTTACAATACAAATCACAAGCTTTTAAAAAAGGAATATATTCAGATTGCATGTACGTAAATAATGCAATGTGCGGTAATTACACAGATAAAGGGATTTGTGTATTAATATTTAATTGTAACTTTACATAAACTCGTGCGAAATGTCGTTAAAAGCATTCAATAAGTTATAAATATTCTCAGAATAAACATAAAGTGATCGTTAAATGAAATCGTCATTCTCATTTTTTTTGCGGGAAAGAACTCGTAAATTCTCAAATTATATAATTGAAAGCTGATAAAATACCGATAACAATCGGCGTCGAGGAATAGCCGAGAATTGTTCAAGATATCCGTCGATAACAACCCCGAAAAGCGTCTTATAGAAGAAACTCGCATGCCTTCCGGCGAGACGTACTCATAGATAACTGTGAGCTATTACGTGTAGATAATGATGCGCAACTAGTCAGCTCCCATAAGAGAGCATCCTGCTTTCGCTCAAAATATTCGCGTATAGAAGGTTGTTTGTCAAGGGGATTTACCAACGAGATCATATAAATCGCGCGAGGAAATCTGAAACTCTGTCCCTGGTATATTCATAACGCTCGTCTTCCTCGTGCATTACAGTGTACCATCGAAATATCTTTTAGGACGGATTTTGCGTAGATGTGAATATGACGAGAATGTCGCGCAAAAAGATCCGTCGATTAAAGCACGAAAAAGCAAAGAATAGATATTTACTGTACAAAGAGAACTTTACAGTGACTAATGATATACGTGAAATTGCTGAGAAAATTTTATAAAATTATAGAATTTATAAAATTATAAAAAATTTTATTCTCAAACTTTTCAATTCTGTGAATCTCTCTTAATGATAATTAAAAATAATATTCGAAATATTAAAAATGATAATTACGTAATATTACAAAATGATAAATTATTGATGATGGTATAATATTAGAAAAGATTCCAGGTATAATTGTTTCTTTTAGAAAATTGATAATTCTGAAATAAAAAAGAAACTCTAATGTTTCGAAAACTAAACTTTAAAATCCGTTGCATCGATGCATCTTATAAAGTGACGACGAATACCGCGAATCCTGCATGTTCGATGCAGCGATCCATCGTGATTGCGCCTCGTTCAATCTTCGTTCCAGCAATTTAGTCGCGTCCTTACTTTGGACAGTTCCTTCGTACGAAATCCCTTTTGCCTTTGACCATCCCCAGAGTCAGACCAGCTCGACAGATAATTTCGTGCGGATCTTTTTCACGTACAATCGCGTGAAAATCATGTGTGCCGAACACGCTCCCTTCATTTACGGAAAGGACGTAGCTCGAAAAGGGCTGGCTTCGGTACGGACAGAAGCAACAGAAGACGAAGAAAAATGATACGGACTAACGATACATCCCACGAGTATGACCGCTCTGTGACGGATGTTTGTAAATTACAACTCTCGTGTCCGCGAGGGAGGAAATCGTATTCCTGGATGGGATTTCGAGTTTCCTCGCGGGGATCTCGAGCATG